TTATAGACGTCCTTTATAAGCTTGATGAATATCCCTCTATTTACAATTTTCTGCGAGTTTTAAATTTTTTTTTTCATGGATGAATGTTGAATTGTCAAATATTTTTTCTACATCTATTGAGCTCATTACTGTTTTGTTTTTTTCAATCTGTTGCTATAGTAAATTGAATTGATTGATTCTGAGTGTTGAACCAGATTTACATCCCCAAGATAAACCTCACTTGGTCATGATAGATTGCCTTTTTGTATATTGTTTTATTAAATTTGCTAGTGTACTTAAAAATTTCTGTTACTGTGTTGTTGAGGGACATTGGTCTGTAGTGTCTTTTCTTGTAATGTTTGATACCAGGGTACTAGTGGACTAATAAATGAGTTGGGAAGGTTCCTTCCTCTTCTGTTTTCTGAGAGATTTGCATAATATTTTTACTATTGATTTCTTAAACATTTGAGAGAAATTATCAGTGAAGTCCACTGAAGACTAAAGATTCTTTGTCTGAAGACAATTAGTAACTTGATTTTTTCATGGAATTATTCAATTTTTAAATTTCTTTTGGGATCAATTTTGATGATTTGTATTTTTAAAGAAATTTGCCTATTTTATTTAGGTGGCCAAATACATATATTATTGAGCCCTAGCTACAATCTAATAAATTAGTCCTCTACAGTTTCATGAAAACTTACAGAAGACATGAGACTCCTGAAGAGAGACAAGAAATTTGTTACAGCAAAAGTAATTATCAAAAATGACCTATCCAAAAAGGAAATGAAGAAAATATTTCCACTTACAATAGCACCAAAAAGTATAAAATACTTACAAATAAACCCAACCAAGAAGGACTTTACACTGAAAATTGCAAAACATTGCTGAAGGAAATCAGAAAAGACATAAATAGATCAAAAAATATCATGTGTTCATGGATTAGAAGACTTATTATTGCCAAAATGCCATTAAATCTGCAGATTTAATGCAATGTCTATCAAAGTCCCAATGCCATTTTTAGAAGAAGCAGAAAAATCTATTCTAAAATTCATATGGAATCTTAAGGGGCCTTGAGTAGCCAAAACAACCTTGAAAGGGAAGAATAAAGTTGGGGTCTCATACTCTCTGATTCAAACACTTATTACAAAGCCACAGTTATCAAAATATGTGATAGTGGCATAAAGCAGACACACACAACAATGGAAGAGGATAGAGAGCTCAGAAATAAACCTTGCAATAGCTAAGCAAATGATATCGACCAAAAAAGTAGTTGCTGGAGCATTAGCATCATTGTTCCATTTTCCTGAGCCCCACATACCGCAGGATGACATGGAAGACCAGATGAAGCCTGCACGTGTAGTCGGCTGTTGCACCACAGACGAGGAGCTCTGAGCTTAAGGATCTCATCACTTTAAGGCAAGCAGTAAGCAAGCATTCTCTTTGTGCACAGGGAATCACTACCTCATCGCTCAGAATTACCAGCTGCATGAAAACTCATGAGAGATGGGGACCTGCCTGGTGGCCCAGTGGCTAACACTCCATGCTCCCCATTCAGGGGGCCTGAGTTTGTTAGCATGCTGCAACTAGAGCTGGTGCAGATAAATAAATAAATATTTTAAATAAATAAATACTAGTTTCTTTAAAAAAAAAAAAAAGACTCCTGAGACATGGCCCAGGTAAAAAGTGGTCAGGGTCTAGTCTCGACACTCAGCAAAACATGTAAGAATGAGAATAGGAATGCATTTCTCCTTACAATGCTCTTTTCCTTTAATTAGTCTTACAATTTTATCAACTGTATTGATTAATCCTCAAAATTCACTTTTGATAACATTAATTTCGTCTGCTGTTTTTCTGTTTTCTATTTAATTTAGCTCTCTAGCTCAACTGTTCTTATTTTTCTAATTTGTAGAAGCCTGGGAAATCCCATGGATGGAGGAGCCTGGTAGGCTGCAGTCCATGGTGTCGCGAAGAGTCGGACACAAATGAGTGACTTCACTTTCACTTTTCACTTTCATGCATTGGAGAAGGAAATGGCAACCCACTCCAGTGTTCTTGCCTGGAGAATCCCAGGGATGCGGGAGCCTGGTGGGCTGACGTCTATGGGGTCGCACAGAGTCGGACACGACTGAAGCAACTTAGCAGCAGCAGCAGCAACAGACCATTGATATTATTAAATTTTTAATTTTTATTTTATATTGGAGTATAGTTGGCATTCAATATTGTGCTAGTTTTAGGTGTACAGCAAAGTAATTAAGTTTTACATATATCCGTTCCCATAAATATCACTATAGACTGTTGATTAGAGTCCCCTGTGTTATACAGTAGGTCCTCGTTGATTATCTATTTTATATAGGGTAGTGGATATATGTTAATCCCAAACTTGTAGTTTATCCCTCCCTGCCACATTTCTCCTTTAGTAACCATAAGTTTATTTTCAAAGTCTATGAGTCTAGGTAGCATTTCATATGGGTCAGAAGGGCCACCATCAAAAAGTTTACAAACAGTAAGTGCTGAAGAGAGTGTGGAGAAAAGGGGACCCTCCTACACTGTCGGTGGGAATGTAAACTGGAATAGCCACTATGGAGTCCTCAAAAAACTAAAAATAGAACTACCACATGATCCAGCAATCACACTCCTGGGCATATATCTGCGCTTGTGTTCTAAGTTGCTCAGTTGTGTCTGACTCTTTTGGAATCCCATGGACTGTAGCCGACCAGGCTCCTCTGTCCATGGAATTTTCCAGGCAAGAATATTGGGGTAGGTTGCCATTTCCCACTCCAGGGGATCTTCCTGACCTCAGGATCAAACCCTCATCTCCCATGTCTCCTGCTTTAGCAGGTGAGTTCTTTTACCACTGTATCACCTGGGAAGCCCCATATCCATAAAAAACTATAAATCAAAAAGAAACATGCACCCCAATGTTCATTGCAGTGCTATTTACAATAGCCAAGAAGGAAAGCAACCTAAATGTCCATCAACAGAGGAATGGATAAATAAGATGTGGTACATATATAAAATGGAATATTACCCAGCCATAAAAAAAGAACAAAACATTTGTAGCAACATGGATAGCCCTAGAGATTATTAGACCATTGATTTTAGACCTTTACTCTTCTCCAAAATAAGCATTTAAGGCTACTGATTTCTCCAGAAGTACTTCTTTAGCTGCTTTCCTCAAATTTTGATATATTCTCTGTTCATTTTCTCTTCTCATGTCTTCTTAGCTCCATGGATTATTTTTTTTTTTAACCTACAGAATCCAAGTGCCTTTCTTTGAATTTTGAATGTACCACTTCCTAGACTTGTAGCTTTGGGTAAGTTTCTTAATTTCTTCATAGATCAGATTTATCATATGTAAAATGAGAATTATAAGAGGATCTTTCTCAGAGAATTATTGTCAAGATTAAATGAAGCAATCCATGTAAAGAACAAATGCCTGGAACAGAGTAAATCTACAGAAACTGTTAGCTATTATTATTGATAATTTTTATTACTTTTAATTTAATGAATGTAACAATTCATAGAAATAATCCTGTATTTTAATACAGAAAATATATTTAATTTTCTCAATTATGTATTTTTCATTTTGTGCACTTTTCCTACATTTTGCATTATCCTTAAGCTGGACTACAAGAAAAATTTTAAAAACAATACTTAATTTAAGGGGATGAAGGTAGTTCTGTTTCTTTCTTTATATTATCACTAGTTAGGTAGTAGGTCTGATAGATCTTTGCAGTGTTAAAGGAAAGCAACCTTTCAATAGCTGAACGAAACCACTTATTTGTTTAGTATAACTTCTGCCCCCTTCTGCCTACAAGTCTTTCATTTTCTGAAAGACATGCTCCTTAGAACTTTCTATCTGCTAGGTTGGACACTGCCTGATTCAACTTGATTTTTGCTCAAATAAAAGCATAACTCAGTTCATCTTCTACCACATCTCATTATTAAAAAATGGTCAGTCTGATTTTTACTTTTTAAAGGAAGTTTCTATTTTGTTTTCTCACTACAAATTCACCACTTAACACAGGTTCCTCGGTAGTGTAAGTTTGATCATAGACTCCAGAAAATGAATGACAGGTTTTTCCTCTGCAAAGTGGAAATGATAAGGTAGAGCAATAGAAATTCTTAGGTCCAAGCCTTGTTCATCCAGGTCTCCCTCCTCCCTCCACACACTTAACGCTTGTCTTTCTTTTTCCTGCTCTCAGGAGAAAGGTATCCCAGGGTCTCACTAAGGGAGACAGAATCTGTAATATCCTTCCTGTTTTAAAGGAAATCACCAGTAGTCTGGGCAGCTACGGGGCAGAGCAATGGTTTGGGAGAAGGGGAGCGTGCTGCTTGGACTGATTAGTTTAGACGCTTTCCCTGCGTCCTCACTATGGGCACATCAGCAGCGTGACCAGTGCAAGGGAAGCCATCTCGCCGCCAGGCCATCCCTCCAACTCCAGCCTTCCGACGCACGTGCTAGTCCAGCCTGGGGCTCGGGTCCCGGCCCCGCCCCCTGACGGGACAGGGCTCGGGTCCTTCAGCCCCGCCCCCGGCCCCGAACTCGGCTTCTAGCCCCGCCCCTGAAAGGTGCCCCCGGGAACCTTCGGCTGGTGGACTCGCTCTCCCGCCGAGCCGGGTGGGGGCGGAGTCCGGGCTGGTGCTGTGAGGACCGGAGGGGCGGAGGTGGCGCCTCTGTCAGGGAGCCGGCATTCGCGGCCATGACAGTGGTGGCCCGAGGCTCATGGCTGCTCCGCGGCCGCCTGGCCCGAGTGTCGGCGCTGAGCCGGAGCGCGGTGTCGCCCTTCGCGGCGCCAGGAGCGGCGGGGCAGGCGTGCCGGGGCTTTCGGAGCAGCGGCGTGAGGTACGAACGCTCCCGGACGCTCGACCTCCTCGGGCCCGGGCGCTCCCGGGTGCGAAGCCACTGGCTGTGGGAGGGGCGGCCGGGCGCCTGCATCTGGCGCGGGCCAGGCCTCGCGCGTGTGAGCCGGGGCTCCGGGGCAGCCGCGCGGCGGGGCGGGGGCGAGGCCTGTCTTCGCTCGGAACTTGGCCTTGCAGGCCAGCCCGGCTGGTCGCATCCGCCTCAAGTCAGGCAACTTGGATGTTTTCTGCGCTCACCGGAACGTGCCGTCTTTGCAGCAGGTGCAGTTGGGTGACTGAGGAAGACCTTTAAGACCCAGAGAAAAGGGGCCTTAAAAACACGTGGTCTGCTTGTTTGAAGCATTTGTTTGGTTTTGGTTATGGCTGTGTTTTGTAAACAAAGGAGTGGGCGATGGCCAGATGGGTTAGAGTTTCTGAATTTCTTTGTTGGTGGTAATAGGTCTTTTTGAGCTCTACAATTCTTAATGATTTCACAAAATCAGACTTTAATCTTCACTTTTCGGTGTTTTTCTGTATGGCGCTTCCCAAATGTCTGCAGTCTTAGACTGACATGATCAATCTTAGATTCACTGCATCTCTTTGGACCTTGTTGCTGGCCAGCAGATTGCGAGTAGGTTTTAATTGTTCTGTACAAATGGTATGCTGTCCGTCCATCCGTTACTTGTAGCTATTCTTCAAACTCAGATCCAAGAAGCTAAGAATAATTTTTTTTGACCCAGAGCCAGTGAGTCCATTTACTTTTCAGACTTAGCAGGGATTTTAATAACGTGCTATAACTGCAGTTTTATGTGGCCAGAGATTGTGCCTTACTCGTCTTTTTGTAGCCCCAATGCCCAGCACAATGCCGGGAAGAAAGGGAAGATCAGTAATGATAAAACATAGTGACTCCTTATTTAACTTAAACTGACTTCATTGTATATATTTGGATCTTAGTCTTGTGTGACTGAAGTAAAAAAAAAAAAAAAAAAGTCCTATAGGGTTTACTTTGGACTTAGTTTGTAGTGACTGCTGTTTGTCTCCCTGAGAATATGTGAGAAAATAATGACTCACAGTTCTGATTGCAGAAGCTGTAATGGTGTCTGAAAAAAATTGCCAGTTGGTTTGGATACAAACTCTGCAACCTAGAAAAAGCAGATTCTGTAGAATTCTCTTTGCATTACAAAATTGAAGGAATTATGCACCACAGTCACACTATTTAGATAATTGTTTGTTGAATTTGAGTTATTTCAGGGCTTCTTCCCAGAGTGAAGATAACCTTTTTCCAATTGTGTAAGTTGGTTCATTTCCCTTTGTCAGATGGTGTAAATAGACAATCCCTTCATCCTGTCTTCTCCAGGTATCAATACACTGAATGAGAACCATGACAGCTAAAAACCTAACTGTCCCGTTGAAGCCACTTGTCACACACACATGCACATACACACATGGATAATTCAGAGCTTTTTAAATTGAATTTAGGGTCTTTTATAATTTGAAATAATCAAGTGGAATAATTTTGGAAAGCTATTTTTAATGTAAATAAAGAAGTGTAACTTTCAACCCAACTGCGTTCAGATTATAGCTGTATAGAAATAGTGATACCTTTGATAGGTTTTTATTTTTTCAAGGCAGCACTAGTTAGGTTAGGATCGGTGGCATCCTGACATCCCATTGTCACTGAGTACCATATATGAAGATGAAGTTGCCTGTAAGTTTGAGAAACACCTGTGGACTGATGGGTCTCGGGTGGGGAGAAATCCGGACAGTGTGTTGATGTTCACTGGTGTCTCTTTTCTCTTCTAGGACCAGCAGAGAGAAGAGATTCCATCTTCCAGAGGTCGCCACTGTCTGCCTCCCCACTTGTCCCCATCCTCGGTCATCTCTTTTAACACATTATTGACCAGAGATGTATTAATATGTCTTTTGTTACCCAAATGTTATTGACTGGAGATATATCAATATCGCTTGATAACAAATTGCTGGCTACAGGTGTTAGTCTCTGCAAAAATCCCCCGGTCAATAATGAGTTAATATGTAGTGACACGTTAGTTGTGTAGTTATTCATAGTGAATGTGTTTTAAATCCTACATTATCCTCTTGATTTGAAATTTGAGCCTTCGTGTTTTTCTTACTGCAGTGAATCTTTGAGTTTGATGAACTCTTTCTCTAATGGTGTTGACTGTTTTCAATTAACAGATTTATTACCCATTTCTGGTATAGAGCTGCAGATAAAAAAAGTATTTTTGATTGTCTTTCATATCTTTGGCTAATTAGATACTTATAACGGAACATATAAATACTTTTTTAGTAGAAAATTTCAAGAAATAGTGTTTAACAGAATTTGAAAATTACAAAATTATTTATTGTTTAATATTTAATCTCAGAATGGTTTCCCTTTAAAATTTGCAGTTTTTCCTCCATTTACTCATGATAAAATGGATTTATTAATTGAAAGAAAATATATTTAAATGTCAAGGAAATAAATGAATAAGTCCCTTCTATTTGTTGCAGCTTATTGTTTCTTGAAATGAGTTACCTAAAAAGCCAAAAAGTTACAAATAAAAAATTCTTGGTGATTGAATTTTCCCAGTTTTGCCTTGCTGTGTGAGAAGTTTACAAATCAAAATGTGCTTGGGTTGTAAAATATCACATGAGTCTGGCACAGTGTTTTTAAGTGTATGTAGCTGGGCAGCAGTCTATCCCATCTGGAGGCAAGGTTACAGACTTTTATGTTAAATGCCATTCTCGAGGCAGATTTTCAGGTATCCTCCACCAGAGGCTTCCCCAAACCATGCTTTACTACATGAACTCATTTTTAGTAATTAAATGGATATCCCAAGGGTTTTTTAAAATAGAAAATCCTATGTTTTTGGAGCTAGTAAGAGGTACTGGTTTATGTTATGTAAATAATCATGTCTTATAGGACTTCCCTGGTGGCTCAGATGGTAAAGAATCTGCCTGCAGTGCAGGAGACCCAGGTTCAATCCCTGGGTGGGGAAAATACCCTGGAGAAGGAAATGGCTACCCACTCCAGTATTCTTGTCTGAAGAATCCTATGGACAAAGAAACCTGGCAGGCTACAGTCCATGGGGTTGCAAAGAGTCAGCCACGACTGAGCAACTAACACCTTCTTTCATGGAATGGATAGTTTAAAAGACAAAGATAATTTTTAAAAGACAAATTGTATATGTACGGCTGTTAGTTTTTCTTGAGACCCTCTCCTCTAGTATTTACTCAGTTTCTTTGTCTGCTATAGAATTTATTTAAAGATCATTTTATCCTTGTGTGAAGCTTAAAGGACCCAGACTCCAGTTTGTACCATTACTGAAGCTGATTTTCCATGGAATTATTTCAGCCAAGATAGAGTTTGCAATTTCTCAAGATCACATTTTATTTTGCTGGCAAATTGTGATTTTTGAGTCTTAATGCCTTACGTCTTCTAATGACAATGAGCTATGATAGCTATCTGGTTACAGTTTTTATTTCTAAGCAGTTACTGGTGGTGGTTTGCTCACTAAGTCATGTCCTACTCTTGTGAATCCATGGACTGTAGCAGTTAAGTCATTTTAAATTTAGAACCTAAATGTTTCACCATTTATTATCTTATATCTTAGTTTTATATCTGTGCTTCAGCTGTTAAGAGATAATGTGTTCTAATGTAATGTCTCCAAAATCAAGTTTTCTGATTAAAATGGATCAGCAGGTGAACAGAGAAAATTAATACTAATCTCAGACCTTGTTAGTCATGATTTTAGTAATAATCTAGCAATTTCTTTAATGACCCAAATCTTTGTTTTTCAGATGCTTTGTAGTTATAGTATTCTTTCATGTTAATACCCTAATTAGATGATAAAAGTAGCAACAAAGAAACCCAGCAGATTACCTTCTATGGAGATAATACTCCATAGAAGTAGTTGCATACTCTTCATCGAATTCCCTGGAGCTCAATGAAGATTGTTAAAAATAGTTTGGTTTAGGGGTGATTAAGTTGTAGAAGGATGCTTAAAGATGTAGGAGCTTGGGTGAAATCTGAACTGTCCAATGAGTGGGATAAAGTAATGATTAGTAATTAGTGAGATTTACTATTAAGAAGTGCAATCTGGACCAGAAAAAAAAAATCAACTAATTTGTGTTCAGAATGGGATATAACATAAACCTAAATTAGTTTCAAAGAAGACCTCAGGGTTGATAGTATCCAAGAAGTTTTATCCAGCTGCTCCTGTTAATATTATGTCATAGGTATTTTCTGTGTTGCCATTGTTTTTGTTAACATTTTATTGGCTGCATAATATTACATTAAGTCAAGTGGCCTTAATTTACCTTACCATTTTGCTGTTGGTTAATGTCTAGTCCTTGAAATATGAAATAATTCACTCTCAGATGCAGGTCATATTTCTGTCAACATCATACCAACCAGGTTTGTTCACTTAATGATCTGAACTCTACTTAGGTTTCTAGAATTACTCTCATTAAAGAGTATGCCTCGAGCCAAGAGACTATTCAAAGATTTGTCATTCTAAAATGAGGGCATTAGAACTGATTCAAATGAATTCTTTTTAATGGCTGAGTAATATTCCATGGTGGATATGTACCACAGCTTCCTCATCCATTCGTCTGCTGATGGGCATCTAGGTTGCTTCCATGTCCTGGCTATTATAAACAGTGCTGTGATGAACATTGGGGTGCA